CCCTAGGCCCTAATATCAAGAAAAATAGACTGAATGGTCCCAAATATGTGTATCTTCTGGTAAACTAACATAGCTCTGGAAAATCACAATGTTTTAATAGATAATTCAACTATAAAAAGGGCAATTTTCTATAGCAAACTGTTAGTTTACTGGAAGGTAAATCCCCTAGATTCCACCATGGTTTCTGGGGACTCTTCCAGTATTAGGATGGGATTTTTGACTAAAAACCTTTCGAAAAGACTGTAGGCCCCTCCGGTTTTGCTGGTGACCCCCATGAACTAGGTTGATAGATCTACCATAAACCGTGGGTCCAACATGAAACACTAAGCATAACATTTCTAAATTGTATCCCAAGCTGACTATCTGGAACGCCCTGGTTTTTTTGTTGATTTTGTTGGCTCTTCAATTTGTCAGCCCAGGTTCATCAATCCCGACCTCAATATCCGGGGGTCCCTGGCGGTACAGCTGGCCTGCTTGGGAAGTTCCAGCAGTGGCGATAGCACATCTTCAGTCGCCATACCCAGCCGGATCCACCACCAGTTAATAAACCAGTGGGGAGGATGTCCCGTATTCGTTACATTCAGCGTTTCATTCACTCTGGAAAACTGATCCCGTCTTGGCTGACCATCAAACAGCAAAAACCATTGGCTTCTTAAGCAGCCTAGTTTCTTGGGGGCACGAATGCGCCATTTTATGCGAATGCTTTAATGTTTTGGGTAGACTGGATAGACCAAGGATATCCCCGGTGATATAATATTACGGCTTCCATATTTTTTTTTTTAAATCATATTGTATAATAATAATAATATAATAATATATATATATATTATAGTATTACATAATGTATATATACATAATATATATATAGTTATAGTTATATGACATAAATGAGATATAGATGGGTTATGAATGCAGGACATCGCCTCGGATCTCCGGGAGTCGATGCTGGGGGAGTTGGACTTCCGGGAGGCGGCTGGACATTTGGGGCTGGGAAAACCATGGGAACAGGTGGGAAAACCCATGGGAAAACCATGGTGAAAAAGACGGGAACACCCTTAGAAGCTATGGGAAGATGTAGGAAACTTTTTTGGATTTTCTTTTTTCGATGGGACTTTTTTAGAGGTCACCCACCGGCTGCTTCCATGGAGGGGCTCAGTTGTGGGAACCTCGAAGGATGTGGAGAAACTTGGGAAGGCATGCTGGAAACTAAGTTCAAAGATGGAAGATTCGAGGAACAGAATGGGATATAAACCCAACATAATCCAACCATTTTATGAGGATACAGTGAGGATACAAAGGGACAACCAATCATATGCATGGTATGCGGTTGTCCAGAAAGGTTTACATTCCAAGTTATGGCAATTCTATTGCCGCACTATCCGGAAAAAAAAATCATCCCTCTAGCCTAGTGAAATCCCCCAAGTCATCCATTGAGGGAACTCCATCAATGGATGATAAATCGGGGTAGCCCTATGACTTAGGAAACCTCCATAGCATATTTTTTCCCAAACGTCCCCATGGTCCCAAGGTTTTCCATAGTTTTCCCATCCCCAGAAAACTGAAACACCTCTGTGATCCCATCAGGAGCAACGTAACCTTGAAGTCTATCGCGACTTCCTCACCGGCAACGGCTTGGACCAGATTGCAGCCACGCAACGGATGTTTTTTCACGTATTTTCTATGGTAAGTCATGGGATATGCCAACAATTATGTAAAATAGGGGATATGTAACAGGGGATTATCCCTCGAAATGTATGGGACGTATATGAATATGATAAGATATGAATGGAAATGAATGGAACAATAGTGGTTAATGATGGTTGATAATGGGAATATAACGGAATATAATAGGAACATATCTCCCATCACAGGCATATAATAGGGATATGATTCATATGATTAGAAAAGGGATATAATAGGGATTGTATGGTGTATATACCCTCCAGCAATCAAACATTGCTGGGAAATCCCCGAACTACATGGAGGTTTTAATGGTATACTGTAACCCACTATCAATAGAGGATTTTCATTGCAATGTTTTATTGCTCAGGGTATAGGTTTAACTAAAGAGAACTGATATTGAACAATCAGGGGATACTATGGTTAGATAACTTAAAGACAGATTTGCTGAGCCGGTGATTTTTGATTTTCCTAAAATCCACTGCGCCAGAGCGGAATCTACAACGACGATATGTTCATTGTGTGGGGCCATCTTGAGCAAACCCAAGAAATCGTGGGGGATATCATCCACCAAGGTTGCTCCAAAGCCTTTCCCAGATGCCTCGGCCAAGCGGGTTTTGACCATGGAACGCCTCAGTGGAGTGCCGCTGACGGATTTAGATGCCATCAAGCTGGGACCTCAGGCCACGACCAGGTCGATGATGCTTAATTAATGATGGTGGATGTTGCTTGCAGGATATCAAAGTTTGTTTTGCTATATTATGTATATACATATATATATATATATATATGTAATTAGTTTTTTTTGATATAGTCATTTTGATTGTTGTTGTTTGGTAGTTTCACCAATTCAGCACGTTGGGTGTAGCTTTTTGGGTCCAATGCTATGTCAACCGTCCAAACTGAACCGCAGGAAAATCATAGCATCCATATATTGATGTTGAACATCAAGGAACACCTAAAGATTGTGGAATATACCATATTATTCTAGTGGATATATAGTGGAATATATATATATATGGTTGGTGGTTTGGAACATGGCTTTTATTTTTCCACAAATTGGGAAGTTCATCATCCCAACTGACGAACTCATATTTTTCAGAGGGGTAGGTATACCACCAACCAGACATCCTCGATTGAATCATATCCATTGGATGCATGTACAAAATTATACAAATTGATGCGTGATTGACGTTGAACTGCTGAAGAACCATAGCAAAGATGAGAGCCATCCAATAAACCCAACGATCCAAAATCCAAAATCAGCATCTACCCATCTGATGTCAAAGAAGCTACGAACTTGCAAGAACTTAACACAAGAAACCATCTGAAGGTTTTCACGCCGTCCATACACCATCATATAATATGATAGTTAGTTTGTTATATCCCTATATTATTGGATAACATGGGATATATTTCCTTCAAATCACCATCCATTTTTGGATTTTTTGGCAGCTTTTCATCACCAGATGTCCGGGTCTCTCCTGCTTCCGAGGCGCTACAGCAGTGACCCGGAACAGACCCTGGTGAATGCGCTGAATGCCGCCTGGTGAAGACTGGAGCTGAAAACAGAGCAAGAAATAAATTTGGGTCTTTAAGCAAAGCAAAACAATGGGAGAACACTTTAATATTTATAAACTTATAAATGTGGAGAATTATGATGTATATACTCGATTATACTCGTACTTGAACGGTTCTTTTCTTATTGGGTACTTCTGCTTCTTGCCAAAATCAAACTGTCCGAGCATCTCTGCACAATCAAAACAGGAGATCTCAAGTCATACAGGAAGTAGTCACTGGTTTGCCGAACCGACTGGCACCGCATGCCAGGATGAGTCAACAATGAGAAGCAGCCAACCAGAAAGGGAACAACCATTTTCTCCTTTGCAAAGGATGGTTTATGCACATATGACCAATGCAAAACCATCATATTAAAGACTTAAACATAATTAAAAAGACATCACAGATATGATCATAGATTAAATAAATATGATTTATCATTATCTTCATGCTTTATCCTATAGATACATCAATTCTAGGATCTTATCAAAGATATTGATACAACCATCATATGTTCCTAGGATTGGATGAAACCAACCATGAGGTCTGGGCCTTGTCTGTACAGAAGTGCGAATTCTTTCATGCGGACGTCCATGCTGGGAACCTCCTGGTGCTTGAGGACTGAACTCAGGGAACGCTGGAAATCTGAGGCAGTTGCCAGCGATTCGATGTCACAATTTCATCCCAATATGGAGGTTTCTGAGGTTTCCTAAAATGGGGGACCCCCAAATCATCCATTGTTTTCCATCGTTTTTCCATGATAAACCATCTATTTTGGGATAGCTCCATTTTACTGGGGATTCAGGTGATGCCACTAAATTTGTGGCCATGCCCAGGACGGACGGGTGGGTTTCATCGACTTTGGCATTGTAGGCTGGGCTTTTTGTTTCAAGATGCAGATAGAACAGGGGTCGGTAGATGTCCTGTTTTGGGGGAGATTTTGAAGATCACTTGAAAAAGTATCTGTTTGTTGGAGATTATATTCCCAGTAGTTGGGTGATGTTCAATTAGGACATTATTTACCAACCCCTGTAGAACTGATAGAATCTAATAGAACATCAAAGTTGGTCATTTCAAATGATAAGACTATCCGACAATCATTTTTTTTGGGCGTTCTAGGTTGAATCTAGGGGGGCAGCCGGGCAACCATGCAACGACTGTGGGTATGTATGAGCCAACAGTCAGATTCTTGTTGATTGTACAATACTTATGAAGACTTATAACCTTCTGCAAGTTCAGCTTCTTGAGAATATGTGTGTATTTATTTAATTCTCACAAACTGGAATCAAAAAAATGCGTGGCTAAGACACCTCATTTGCCCAATTAGAGCTGCCAGAGATGAGGGATCATTTCCCCGTGAATTCAGACAAACCCATAGCTGTATATCCCGATACGGTTGCATCATATTGAAGCACCGTGAAATGCTGGTCACAAGGTTAAATCACCATTTTTGCCGGTTAAATCATCATTTTGAGTTTTTGGTTCAACCCTTGTTTTTGCAGTATTTGTTTGTCATTGTTAAATTGATTCATTTACAGCAAATCCACATTGTTTCCTGCGAAATCAATGTAAATTCCACTTTTTCTTGCATCAATTCCTTACTGGTGCTTAGTAGGGAATGGATGGGAATGGGGGAATGGGATGATTATTACTAGTGATTCTGGATCATTCCCTCATTCCCTGCGTTTAGCACCAGTAAGATTCCCCAGCATCAGATACAAAACCTGCCCAGCCCAACTCCAGGTCGATTAAGCCCCCAGATGGCCACTGGCATTGACAAGCTGAATGCAGCGCTGGCCGTTTGGGGGTCCCAGCTTTGAGGTTTGCTGCTACTACTGTGGGTGGTTGCGAAATCCTGCACCACCTTGGATGGTTGAAACCCTATAAATAATGGGATAAACCAGCTATCAACTTGTGCAACTAGTGAAGATATTGTAGATACAGATATAACAACCATTCCAAGTCGGCCAAACTTTTCGATTCTTTTCTGGAAAATCCAGAGGAAATTCAAAGGAATTTCATAGGAATTCATATTTTAAAATATTTTACCAATCATCAATCACTATCCAATTCTCATGAAAAACATATTTGACATATTTCCCCATCACTATCCTAATACGTTCACTATCTATGAATGGGTTTTCAAATATTTTCCATTCATCATAATTTTATCATTGTTTCCAATAGATGGTAAATATATTAATAATGGGAAACAATGATAAAATCCCATTATAGCTGATTATCCATTAACAATCCTGTTTAATATATCTCATTTTATCATCATTTTATCCATTTTATCGATAGTGATGATTTTTTCATTAACTATTGATATCTCCAAAGGTTAATCCCATTAGGATCATTTTTCCGTCGTTGGATAGTTCATTTTCGATTAAAGATTGGTGAATTCATAGCATCACCATCACCATTATCCATTCAATGGAGTTTTCCATCAATCTCCGCATTAAATCGGTTGGTACATTTTAGTTGGTACATGTTATAGTTATTGATATGTACCATTATTTTTTTATTGGTACTATTCATAGTTGGTACATAATTTCTGTTAATATCCATTAATTATTGATAGTCAATTTGTTTTTCCAATAACTATAGATTCTTAGTTAGTATTGGATAGTCACATTTATTGATAGTTACTATTGGATAGTCATTGTTAGTTCCAATAACTATTTACCAGAGGGTACTATACTAACCAAATATTTTGTATTAGTAAATTGATGTAAATTGGATTAAATTACCACTATTCACTGAGGGTAACTATTGATATCTCCAATGACTCTCCATATTTTTTTCCAAGGACAGCGATGCCCGCGGCATGGCCAATGCCTTGATCTCCATGGGGGCCACCGTTGGACAGGTCCCAGTGGCGGGATCAAACATGGGGATTAAACATGGGGATTAAGTGGATCATTAGATAATTATAATATGTAATATAATGATCCACTATCTAATGATCATATTATAATTATCTAATAATAGAAGTAATATAATGATCCACTATCTATCATAGTAATCATTATAATGGGGATTGAGTATATGTACGTGGATAAATGGGGATCATAAAAAATAGTAAAACATATAATATACTCAATCCCCATAGTATATTTATGTGGATCATTTATAGTATATTACTTCTAAAGTGAGAGCTCCCAAACATGGCTAACCTTAGATTGGTCATAATATCCCTACTTATATAAGATAAAAATATTATAGTACCCTAGTACCCTCTGGTTATGACTAACAGTTCGCCATGGTTTTTCGATGGCCCTAATCGAAATAGATGGTTTACCGTTCTTAAAAGTGGTGGATCTTTCCATGGCTATGTTAAATACAGTAACCAGATGGTATATTATCTATTATACAAATATACTATAATATACTCATTGGGATTTATGATGATCTACATTGATTATATTAATTAATTAATTATATATATATTATAAATATCTGGGTAAATTATAACGACCTCACTGCGACCGAGCTCTGGAATCATGGTTTATTTTAGGGGAATCATCCCAAAATGGCCGCAAGTTTCAGGTCAGTGAAATATTATAATGTACCCAGATAGATGATAGGTGATGATTAAAGGTTGAAAGTTGAAGTCAGATGTTTTTTCCGACTGAAACTGGCGTAGCACCTTGCAGAGTTGAGGAAGTAGTTTGAGTTTTAGCCATACTGTGCCAAGATTATTTTTTGCTGGGCATCGTGTATTCTGGAGAAGCTTGATTGATTATTTATATATTTTTGTCACTGGAATGCATTGTGTGATTTTGCCAATTCAAGATCTCAGGGCACTGTGAATACTGTGCTGCTTTTCAGAGGAAATGGATCAATGGCTCAAAGTCAGCTGCGTTGGCCAGAATGTCTTGAAACATATCTAGGTAATCATTCTCGTGGCTCTTGGTATGTCAAGCGCAGAATGGTCGGTGCAGCTCAAATTTCAAGATGTTCAAATATATAGATAAGATATTGTATAATATCACCTTAAAATGGTTTACTCTTGGCAGTTGGGTGTTGAAAGGAGTCATTTTACTCCCACACCCCCTTTTGAGTCGTGGAAGAGCGGAGCGTGCCGTGAGGTGGATGAAGATGCCTTCGCGGCAGATATTGAGCAGCTGATCTCTCGCTTAGGACGCTACCCTCGTGGTGTTTCTGGATGAAAAGGCTATGTCTACGTAAGTTTACAGATCCATTCTCCGACACTTGTCAAGTCTCAATTGTTTGATGGTTGATAGGGATTCAAACTGATCCATGGAACCAATTTAAAACCAATTGTTGATGGTTTAACCCGTTTAAGCCCTTCTTGTTGGTCATAACCGCTGAAGAACTTTGTAGCTCCTTGAGCCACAGGAGGATCCCTGGAGAATGCTACGGATGCCACCGTGGACGAGTCGCAGATTCAGGACATCGTTTTGGACATCGCACAGGCCGGGGCCCTGGTGTGAAGTTTCCGGGAATTAGTGGTGCTGGATGGATTAATATGGATTAATGTACCCGTACCCCCAACATATTCCCATATGCTCAATGTATGGAATATTTACCTACATTTACCCAACAAATGGCCCAAATGTAGGTAAATAGACTATACATGGAGCATCTGGGATTGTGTTTTCCGTATCTTTCCGTGAGTTCCCTCAGACTGCCGATATTTAGAATCATTTATCAATATGTGATATTTAATGATATATTATGATATATTACTAGACATGGCATGAGATGGGTTTGTCCATGTTGTCCGAAAATGGGCTATACCCCCAATTTCTGGCGGTTTAAGAGAGAACATCAGGCTGTAAATTTTAAACCACGCAATTTTATGCAATTTTTGGGTTAGCCAGTTTTCAGACTCATATGGCATGTAATTGGATGGACTGTAGTGGCATGGCATGGGGCTGGAGAAAAGATCCTAAATATATATATATATATATAGAGATACATAATGGGCTTCATATGGGTTTCATATGGCTTTAATGTGGGGTTTGACATGGTTTGTTCACTTGTGGGGGCTTGTCACCGGAGGGAACTTCATGCACCAATTTAAGTGGCGATTGTGGAAGATGATGTTCCCATAGGATTTCACGGTGGTCTGGAAGTTTTTCAGCAGGGCCTCAGGGGTCATTCGTCTTCTTTTCGTCTTCTTTTTCGGTTCGTTTTCCATAAACTTCCACTTCTTGATGTTATAAAAAACTGTTCTATCTATTTCAGACTGCATGATATATCCAAGATTGTGGATCTTTGTTTCAACAAATCTTCTATCCAGTTGCAATATATGGGTGTGTTTAAACTAGAGGACCCCAAGCTTTTCATTTATGGGTCATTTTCAGTAGGGAAACCAATGGTTTGGGGGTATTCGGATTTTGGGAACCCCCATATTTATCCTCCAGTAAACTAACATAGCTGTGGCAGATGGACAATTTACAGACGATTTTCCTATTAAAATGCTGATTTCCCATAGCTATATATATATATATATGTTGATTTGCCAGAGGGTATCGATATCTTAGATCTTCCATCAGCACAGCGGTCTCAGGTGGCGGGGAACAATGGCCTGAAGCTGCCGCGGGAATTTGGGCTCCTCATTAAGCAGGTTCCGGGGCGTCAATATTGGGTTTCGATGCGTAACCTGTTGAAAAGGCATCATTACAATTCATTATTATAGAACCCATAGGATCCATGTCTGGTATATATGCTAACATTGGGGGTATATTGATGGTAAATGTTACCATATATAGCATACATGGATCCTATGGGTTATTAGAATAGCTATGAACAAACCAGTAGAACCAGTTCCCAACATTTCGCAACCAGGTTTTGACGCTCAAATAGGTAGAACAGTTGTTGTAGGATGTGGTTAGGATGTGGTTAGGATGTGATGGATGTTGTTTGGCTAACAATTTCAGATCATTTCCATTTCCCCATTTTTTTTCCCTCTAGAAGTATCTGAGTATCTGATATCTCTAGTACATATGTAGCTGCATAGTTGCAGCGGTGACAGTCAGTCACTCACAATGCCAACATCTGCCAGCCTCAGATTGAACTGAACAAAAAAACTTCCAGCGGTTGTACCATTCACCGAACACTGGTTAGAAAACAACCATCCATCATCCATCAAATCTTTCATTGGATTGATCTAAGGGAACATGTTGCAGGACACCCCCAATATTGAATCTATTTCATGGGAAACACATGGGTATGGGTCAAAATTAGGTACCCCAAAAGTATAGATGGTTAATCCTAAACTAGACATTCACATCTGTGGTCCCCTAGGTCTTCCATTTTGACCCACATCCACATGAAACATCACATGGTTTCAACAGGTTTTAGCCGCTAAAGCCATGACTTTTCCCTCGGCAGCGGCAGTCCTTGTACTTCGACCGGTACACCAAGCTCTTGGCTCCGGAGCTGAACATGACGCTGAGCGTGACCATCTGATGGGATGAATTCTGGTGGAATATATATATATATATATACCCTCTGGTAATTTAACATAGCTATGGAAAATCACCATTTTTTATAGGTAAATCCACTATAAATGGGTCATTTTCAATAGCTATGTTAGTTTACCAGAGGGTATATATATATATATGAAATATGATGTTTGGAAAATGTCAGAAAAGAAACCGTGCCATCATTTTTGGGATCTTTCTAAGTAGCTGGCAGTAAACTTATAGTTGAGATGTATCGGTGTGAGTCAGGAGGACGACGTGCTAACCTCATCCACATCCACATTTTTGCGAGGGCTGGCGGCTGGCATGTCCTTCTTCTCTACTGTTTCATGGGGCTCAATGCGTACCATGCTGGCCCAAACCCACCCACTTGAGGACATCATTGGCCAATCATTATTCAAGAATCCACATTCTCTTGGTTACATAAGTTATATATATATAATTATCTAGTAATTGTATACATATACATATATATATATAATCCTCGTTTCTTGTTGAACTTGAGAACATCCACCACCTTTTTGGCTGGTTAAATCTTCCATTTGTTTAAACCGATCTTTGCCATAGTCGGTGTCCACAGTTGTACCGTGCCGCCGTTGCGCTTGCCTCAGGATGTCCGATGACCGGATCTCCAACTTTGGAGCCGCCGAAACTGTGCCTGCTGAGGTGCACAGAAAAGTTGCTCCATTTTGGGGGAGAAGAATCCGTAATTCTGCCCAATTTGACTTATGCATATATGATATATATATATATATACACATATAATGTGTATATATATATATGTTATATAAATATAGATATTATATTATATATTATGTATATATTATATATATATAACGTATGGGTTTGTCTCAGAATGGGCGATCGCATGGCATTTCACAATAGGGAAGATGATGATAAACCATGGTAAACCGATGGAGTTTGGGGGCTGCAAAGATGAGAAAGACATGGAAAGACATACTACAAGGAACTGCACGTCAAAGAAGGTTCCATTGTCCCACTATAATCATTTTACTTTCCATGTTCAACTTTTGCATTTCCAGGTTTTTCTTCCGTTTAATTTCATGTATGCCCAGTTCCTCTAAGAACAGTTTTACTTACCAGTTTTAAGCCCAGCAAAAAAAAAACTTGTTTCAAGATTCACTTGATTGGTTTGATGGACATTTAATAGGACAGCATTGATGATTTTAGCACTGAGCAGAGGTGTTTCCCTTCACCCAATCACCATTTGAGCTATGAAAGGCTCAAGCTGCCCCTCCTTTGCAGGATGCTGGTGCCACCGACGAGCGCAAAGCGGCGTAGTGTCGCGACACGTTGTTTTTAAAAGTTGTCGCCCAAAAAAGAAATGTGGGTAGAGCTTAAGCCTTTGGACCCATAGATGATCAATGATGACAATGTTTCGCATGTCACCTAAGCATGGTTATTTCAGTTTGAAGGAGTTATGATCATACTTGCTGATTGGTTACTGAATGGGATGACCCTCCAGTTGTACGTCTTACATATGGAGATACTATCCGCGGCTTTAAAACATCTCAAAAGAGGAACAAACATGAATAAACTAGTTCCAGTTGAGGTCCTATGCTTTGAGCTGCCCTTTGGTACAGAAACGCAACCATTTTTTATTCCGATTTTCGGCTCAGCGACCGAACCCACTAATTGCTTCAGATTGGAACACTGCCATTTTCTCGCTGAGCCACAGCGGATGTAGCTGTACCAGTTTCACGCGCTCTCACTTGGGAGCTTTTTCCAAGCGTGACATCCAGCTGCTCAATGCAATTGGAGAAAAGGTGTGTTGAACGTTAGCATCTTAACCTAGCTGAGCTTTGAGCTCTACCATCCAGCAGCACTCTAAGACAGTCACAATTTGAAGACAGTTTCAAGCAATTCAGTGTATAATATTCTCAAGCGTGCCATTTTAGGATAGTTTTAGGTCATCCTGGGAACTCCACGCAATTGCGACCTGTCCATCGCAGATCTCCTTCGTGGGTGGCTCCCATCGCACAATTCGTGGATGAGCGCTGCATTATCTTCGAGGATGAGGTTGGGTGGTTTCTGTGTGCCCGCGATTTTGACCCAACATGCCACCATTGACGATGATATACGATGATATAACATGCATTAATTAGATGGTTAGTAGGAAACTGGTACCATCTTTGCTCTTGAACAATACTCATGGTATAGACATTTTCCAGTCTTGGGCTTCCTGTACCTGTAATTTGGTTCATCCACAGAATCCAGGAAGAGAACAAGCTGGAGTACACCGAGTGTCACAACGAATACAAGGAACTCATAGGCTCTCCTGTCGGCGACAGTGCGGAACTTCTTGGAGTTTTTTGGGACCAAAAAAAATCACCGATCCAAAATTTCGGGGATCCCAACGATCCCTCCGGTGATTTATCGCCATAGAAATGACCATTGGTCGACCCATTTGGGTCCATGGCTTCCAGTCTGTAAAAAATGACCGGGATCCATCGGGTAGATTTCCATGTAAAGTGGGTCTATCTCCGGTGTGAGATTGAAATCGCTTTGCAATTGAGGACCACCCTTGCGATTCCGAAAGGTTTTGCCCTCTGGTAATTTAACGTGTAGTGTAGCTATGCCAAATTACCGTTTGTAATAGTTATATATATATATATTATATGATCATAAATCATCTATGAATGAGCCATATAGGTACAATTGGATCAACAACACAGAACTGTCACATTCCAACCCCTTGATCGGATCTCATCCACCTTGATCTGTTGAAATCCTGTCTCAACAGCAAGGCTTGTCTCAACAGCAGCGGGGATGCCTTAAAATATGGCAATTTTTTAAGGGGGACATTATGATAAATATTAATTGATTTGGCATTTCCGAATTCTTTGAAAGACCTCCACATTTCATGGTTTATCAATGTTTATCAATGTTTATCATTGTTTTCAATGATTTGTTCTATGCAGATTGCTTGTTTGGTTAAATGATGTTAAATGCTCGCCTTTTGAGACAAACCCAGATATATCACCTATCCAATAATATCCCATAATATCCCATCATGTACCATTGTGTTCCATTATATCCCCATGAAAACCTACTTGTTCGGATTATTCAATTTTTTTTTCTTGGTGGAATACGTTTTCAATGTTGCGTCAGACAAGTATTTTTTAATTACATAGTTATATATAATATACAGTACAGTATTATACATATAGTTTCCATTATGTATATATCCATGTATATTTAGTTATATATACAGTACAGTATTATACATAGTTTCCATTAGTTTCCATAGTTTCCGATCATCAGATATGTCTCCAAGATCTCCAATAAATCTCCGCAACGGTTGCTGGATAGCAGATAGCAGCTTCGCTGCACATCTGCTGGAGATCGATGTCACTGGAGACCAGCGACTGGCCGGAGATTCGACTTGCGGCGGCTGGGTTTTTCAGGGAACATCTACAATTGATCTACAGAAATATAGAGGTTTCCTATGGTTTCCTATGGTTTCCTTGAGATGTTCCCTTCTGATTATGGGAATGGTTTGGGGTTCAGTGGGGCTAATAGGTCCATAGGTTCGCTATTCCCTTAGCTTCGCCGGGAGAGAATGGGGAGCTGGAAAGCAACCCGAATGGGAACCAGGTCGGACCAGGTCGGTTCTTGTCATTGGAATGGCATGGGGAATGGTGAGGATTCAACGGGTAATGTCGATACAATGAATACGGATCGAATATATTTATAATGGGGAGATTAGGGAAAGCGATAATTGGGAATTTCATGGGGATACCTTTGATAAGGACATAATTAATGGGAATATAACAATGGGGATATAGTGTGGATAACTGGGTTTGCTTCGTGTTTTTTCTGTTCCAAAATGGGTGCTGGTCCAATCTAATTTGACAGATATGCTACCATCCACCCATCTGATATTCAGACTGAACGTAGCCTAGGTGTTGATTCATTGATTTTCTGGATGATTTCTCAATTAAGAAGCTTCCCAGTTGGCAAACATTGCTTGATTATTCTCGGTTCATTAAACTGTCCATCTCGCTATTTGGATCTTTTTGCTGGTTGTGTCCCCATCTTGACACCATCACTTACCCTCTCGTAAACTAACAGTTTGCTATTGAACATGGCCATAGAAATAGTGGATTTACCCATTAAACATGTCCATCGTTTTTTTGTATGTTTACCAGAGGGTAAATCCAGACACTGTCCATGGGGATAACATAACCAGCTCCGCGGAAGTTCTCCGAGGTTCGAGCAGTTTTGCCAGCGAGGCTTATCCACCAAGCCACCTGGCGCCGAGAGACACAACTTCTGAGATTTTTGGCATCCCCAAAAGTCGAAGATTTCCATCGAAACATTTCATCAGAATCATCATCATCATCATCATCATCATCATCATCATCAATGTTACATCAAAGGGTTATATAGCTATTTCGATTCCATCGCCTGCGCCTGCGCCTGCGCCCAGTCCCACATTGCACCGGGTCCTGGTGGAGCAAATTCTGAGCGCGGATGACTTTCTGATCTTCAAGGTGGGGTGGTGGGATTTTTGGTTGTGACGTGGCTATGAAAACTGATGATTTTCATGTGATTTTCGTCGAATTTCATGGGATTTAACTGGGAATTCATGGGGTTTAGCCAAGAAAACGGGTGATTTTCATGGGTTTGATGCCAGATTATGGTGAGTGAATGGGTGATGAAAGAGGGCAGGGACGACCTCACTGTTCTCACTGGAATGGCGCTTAGGATTGGGGTAACTATCCCAAAATATAACCGTATTTCAGGTCAGGGAATTATTGTAATACATATATACCTAGAACCTCCGGGGCATGCATAATTTTAGCCCCTAAGGGGAAAAGAGCCTCTGGCATTTAAGGGGTGGAATTGTTTCACAGGGGCTGAAATCATTGTGTTCATGGTTTTGACCATGTTGGCATCCAGATAAGATGTAATTGGGACAAATTGGATCACTCCATACTCAGGTCTTGAACAGCAAAATGTAGCAATCCTGATCATGGGTGGCTGGGATGTATCCTCTGCCAATTAAACTTGGTTTTGATCAAGTTGCTAAGTAAAGGTTCAATTTGAAATTTTCCTCATGAACACATCAGGGGCACCAGAAGACTCCACAGGGTGTGACCAGAATTTAGGTATCATATGGCATCATAGTATAAACTGCTGCCAAGCGCAAAAGTCTGATAATTAAGTACTTCCTGGGGCATTCGAATTTGGAGTATTCATGCGTTAAATGCAGAAAGCAGAATCAGTATTCAGTCATAAACAGCTTTTATACCCAGAAACACTATATAGTTTTAAACCGGTGGTTTTGTTAGAGGTTGGGGTATTACTGCGTGAGCAAGATTTGGGCATTCATTCATTGGTAGCTTCAGGGTCATTCATTCATGAGCAATTGCTACCTTATAGGGCTAATCATGCATGAACAACTACTCATGTGCAAACAAAACATCATGAGCAGTTGCTCATATAGGGGCACCCATGCATGAGCAGCTACTCATGTGAAAAAAAGGCACTCATGAGAAGCTGCTCAGAGGGGTACTCATGCATAAGCAGCTGCTCATGTGCAAAAACACTCATGAGCGGCTGCTCATAAAGAGGGGTACTCATGCATAAGCAGCTCCTCATGTGCAAAAAAACACTCATGAGGAGTTGCCCGTATAGGGGTACTCATGCATGAGCAGCTACTCATGTGCAAAAAAGCACTCATGAGTAACCAAAAAAAAATCATGAGCAGCTCAAAAGTCATGAGTGGCCTATTAAAGGCAAAAACACATGAGTATATAACCCAAAAAATCATGAACAGCTAAAAAAAAACATCATGAGTAACAAAAAGCACATGAGCAGCTCAAAAATCATGAGTAGCCAATTAAAAAAACACACACTAAAAACTCATGAGCAACAAATGACAACATGAGAAATGCAACAGTCATGAGTATCCTTGCTAAAACCACCAAAAAAATGAGCAGGGAATAAACACATGAGAAACTCAAAAGTCATGAGTAGCCTTGAAAAAAACAAATCATGAGCAACAAAAACAAAAATCATGAGAATCTCGAAAGTTATGAGTAGCCTTTATCAAAAAAAAATCTAAAAACTTTTGAGAACCCATTAACAACATGAGAAATTCAAAAGGCATGAGTAGCCTTACTAAAAAAACAAAAAAACACATGAGCAGGAAATCAAACCTTGAGAAACTCAAAAGTCATGAGTAGCCTCTTTGACAAAAAACACATAAAAAACTCATGAGCAACAAATGACAACATGGGAAACTCAAAAGGCATGAGTAGCCTTACTGCAAA